CCCGTGTGTTATTTGTGCATATCATACATATATTAAATTATTATCTCATATGTACTCCCTATAAATGTTAGAGATATATGTAGCAGAGAAATTTTTAAACTCAATTTTAACTACGAATTTTGACTCCAAATCGTTTAAATCACTCCAATTTTCCTCGAATTTTGCATATTGCCTTATCTATACGTTTTCAACGAATTCGAACTATACCAATTGAAAAAAAAAAATTGTCTAGTTTTTTTTTTTGAATGTTATATATCATTGGTAGCGAATTTTAGCTCTAAATCAGTCCAAATAACCTTCAATCTTTCTCAAATTTTGTATATTGCTTCGTATATGGGTTTTCAACGAATTTTAGCGATACCCATTGAGAAATCCTTTTTTGCCGAAGTTATTTGAATATTGTATATCATTGATAATTTTTTTTGGCTATTTTTAGTAGCATGAATTAATGGCTAATTGTTAGTAAGTAGTGTATATTTATGGTTAATCGCTTAATTCCCTCATTAGAATTTTAGCCAAATGGTCATATTGGGCCAAGATTGTCACACGAAATGCGAAAATACAAGGTCGGACTAGCCCAATAGATAACTTTTCTTAATTGGGCTGGGTTTGTCGAACGATTTTATAGATTCAGAACAATGAAGGCGATACTCAGCAAGCCATATGTAAACTTTTACTTTTTGCAGATTAAAGAAAAGAATAATTAGTATAGAAATGAGTTAAATGTGGGTTAGATTGTCGTGAAATTATATATGTATGAAAACTTTTTTTTATCTTAAAAGGAAGTGACATATTAGTTTGAGACATTAAAAAGAAAAAGCTGATATCTAATTGGAAAAGGAGGGAGTAACTTTGCAAGTGAACTTGCTTTTTCATGAACCAAATATGAAAAAAATCTGAGCATTCACCCAAAATTTTAAGGTAATAGATGGAGTTTTCAAAAATTTTAGGGCAATAGAAGGAGTGACACGGAACACTATAAATTCCTTTGAATTGATGGTGAATAAGTGTAATGTCTTTATTTTTAGAAGATTGTAGAGAGATCAGACTCCGCTAAAGAGTGGGCCTGGAGCAAAGCTTGTGGCTTGATGGGCTGAATATAAATAAAGAAGACCTAGAGCGCGGCTCGTTGTGCTTACTATAGAAAGAAGCTCAATGATAAAACATGACGATAGAGTGGTTGTATAAATGTGTTTACTAAAGTTTGACTCTGATACCAAATGAAAATAAAGAAGACTTAGAGCGGCTCGATGTGCTTACTATAGAAAGAAGCTCAATGATAAAATATGACGATAGAGTGGTTGTATAAATGTGTTTACTAAAGTTTTGATTCTGATACCATATGTCGCTTCTCTATGGAATCTTGTTCTTACTGCCTTCCTAACCAGCTATGCGACGTCACAGATCAAGCTTTCCGAGTTGTTTATTTCTAAAACGATACCATATGAAAGTTTGAGTATACATCCAACCTAAAACCTTAAGGCAATATATTATTTATGTGCCTTAGATTATTAATCCTTATACAACAAAGTGAACGATAAGTGTATTTCTCTAACACCATGAACAATGTTGAGGTTTTAGATTCAGTTAATTCTCGTCAATATACATAAGGAAAATTAACTGTATGCCTATATTAAATTGTTCTTATTAATCAGTCAAGTAGTTTGTGATTACTGTTTTAAATTGATTTTTTGTTATGGTTGGGAAGTAGTATAGTACGAGACAATCTTGCATGCTTTTTATGTTTTCTTCTTTTCTTGAAATGAAACATAGAAAGGAGTTGCCCGAACCATGCCATTCTTGTGTTTGTTACATCTTAAGGTCAACTCTGAGTCGATGACTTTCATTTTTGCAATTCTATACAGTTATTATAGAGGGAGATTTGGTTTTGTCATCCATTATAAATGTTATTTTAGTTAAATAACTTTTTCACATAAGAAATCAGTAAAAATAATATAAGAGATCTTTGCAGGATTACTTTTTTATTTGAATTATGAATTGTATCGGATATCATTCTTTCGTTTGTGTTACAACTAAACTTTGTTAGAAAATTTATGTGTTGAATCGCAACTTCAACTTATGATTGAAAACCACAAAAATTGAATTAAAATTACGTCAAGAGAGAATTTAGCCC